AAAATAAAAAACGGGGGTTACCCCCCAGGGGGCCAGAAGGGAATTTTTTTTTTTTTTTTTTTTTTTTTTTTGTTGTTTTGGCACCAAACTACAAGCAAATTATTCATCAAGCTATAGAACTGCTGGCACAGAAGTAAAACAAAAGACCAAGCATCCAGAAATTAAATAACAGCAGGGGGGGGTATGGCAATTAACAGCTTGAGGGAGACCACCAGTCGACCTCTACCGTCAACCCTAAATTTATAAATGCATTTCTTTCTGTGAAATCTCTAAACATATAATTTGCTCACCATGAAACAGGAAGTGTACATGAATGAATGTGAAAAGGAAAGACCATGCACAAAGAAACTACTGAATATATTTAAAAACAGAGGTTATCATAACTGAGTTAACTGTCCAACAGGCTGGAGATTTTTCTCTTTTTTTCTTTTGTAAACATTGGTGCTAAAACAAACTGGCTCTGGATTGAACGTCTGAGTCTTTTCTCATGCCCCGTGTTGATCAGTCACACTCTGCTGTCCGTCCAGCCGATCCTTCATTAGTTCTTCGACAGCTCTTTGGACAGCCAGTCAAGTCCTTCATACAGCCCGGTGCCCTGGGTGGCGCAGGTGGATTCGATGTGCCACTGTGGAGAGGAAAGGGCATGTGGCTCTCAGAGGGGGGAGGGCGGGTTGACCATCACGACTCAATAAAGTCCACCGATTCAAAGCGAGAGGGATTACTCACTTTTCTGCTGCGAAGTGAATGTAAGCCGAGTCTCTCTGCCAGTTCGCTGACCGTTATGGCATTTGGAAGGTCCTGCTTATTGGCAAATACCAGCAAGACGGCATCTCTCAGCTCATCTTCCTGAAGCTGCAAGAATTACAGATTCCCTGTCAGATACAGCGGCACAGATTCATTTGGCCAAAAGTCAAAAATAGCAAACTATGACCCGGTCCACTCTTGATTTGTGATCACCAGGTGAAATACTGAAAAATATGTATATATATATTTTTTTCCTATTTATACATTCATCAAAACTAAGAATTACGACAAATTTCAGTCTAATGCATGACCTACCGCCATATCTTCTGGTGGAATTTGACTTTAGTGATTTGATGCACAAATAAGGATAAGTTTGTAAGTCAATAGTTTTCTGTAAAACTTAACAGACAGGCTTGTTTTCTCTGATGAAAGACAGATGAGTTCTTAAAAGTCATCAAGAAATCAAGAAATTAGTGATGGTTAAAAAAAAAAGAAAATCTGACCGACTATCCAATTTACAGAAAGAAAAGGGTCCATAAAGAACATTATGAAATTAGAAACACGACGAGCCGCACGACTGATTGATGACATTCAGTCTTTCCCCAGAAACACGTCTGAATCCTGTCTTAGGTTTTGCTCATTTCTCTCAATCAAAAAGGCCCAAATCCTTCAAAGGTTTTCTGAACAGAGTCCAGAATTCCTTTAAGTGCCCGACTACTTTGGAGGCCATGCAGCAAAAAAAAAAAAAAAAATGTCATTTACCCAAACAGTTTGACACAAATTACATTTACACTTTGATATTCTTTTTCCATCACTATAAGCTTTAAGGTAAAAAAAAATATATAAAGTGCCAAAAATAAATAAATAAATAACATATTGTGAAAAAAGTTTTCACTGGGAAGTAGATTCAAAGCAATGCTGCCACTCAGAACTGGGCCGTTTATGATTTGACCTTATATAATAAGATGTAAAAACCTCTTAAAGGCGACTTAGAGAAAGAAAGTGAAACCTTTGATCATCAGTGTTGCTCAAAGATGAGCCGAGTCAGAGCCATGAATACATAAATGCTGCTGGAACGAATGGAGAATTATTACTGTTGCTTTTAATGACCTCATCTCTTAGACATTTATCCTGCTGTGAACTCCCGCAGCTACAAAACCAGCTAAACCTCTTCTGGCAATGATAACATCGAACAAGCCTTTGTAGTAAACTCCAAGGAAATTTTGGACCCCCCCCCCAAATTAAAAAAAAAAAAAAAAAAAAAAAAAATCCAAACATCAGGTTTAATGTCACGTGTTTGATAACATACCATTTTGGAGAGCTCCTCCGCAGACTCAACAATTCGTTCTCTGTCATTACTGTCCACTACGAAGATAAGACCCTAAGAAATAAAAAAAGAAAAGAAAAAAAGAGAAGAATTACAATGGAATAGATGTTTAGTATTGTTTAGATCTAATACCAAACCAATATTAGCCTTATGTTCAGTTATTTTTCAGGAAAACTTTGTGGGGAAACATCAAGATTTTCCAGCTAAATTTGAAAATACCTCCTCATAACTAACATTTTATTCAGATCAAGCACAGAGAACAATCATCTTTAGTACTTTACTGCAACTTTTTTTTGTGACTTCACCACGTTAAACCGCGATTGTTTATCACATTGCAACTTTTTCATGCAGCAGAAAGAAAAGATTTGCCTTGGAATCACTCGTTATTGAGTGATAAAGCAATTTCGCCTTATTTGACCTGTCCAAGAACTAGAAAGTTCTGCTTTTTGCGTACCTTATTTTAATCTAATATCTACGTTTTGCTTTCTGCTACAAACAAAAACTACGGACTGAACATTCTCCAAGTCAACAACAGGAAAGGAAACAAGGAAGCAAAATAACAGAGAAAGAAAGGAGGAAAGAATAAAACATCTCGGGAGTTTAACAGCTGAATCACTGCACTGTGATAAATCCCCTCCTGAAAAAGTTTCACATCACGTTGTAGCTGCACAACGGGGTTTTCTCTGTAACTTCAAACCAAAGTTGGTCTCGTACCTGTGTGTTCTGGAAGTAATGCCTCCAGAGAGGTCTGATCTTGTCCTGGCCACCCACATCCCAAACGGTGAAGCTGATATTTTTATATTCTACCGTCTCCACATTGAAACCTTTCACAGAAAAGGGACAGACCAAAAACATAATCATGAAAAACAGAGAAATACTTCAAAAAAAAAAAAAATAAATAAATAAAATCCATACCAATGGTTGGGATAGTGGTCACAATTTCACCAAGCTTCAGTTTGTACAGGATTGTTGTTTTTCCAGCAGCGTCTAGTCCAACTGAGGAAAGTAGAAAGAATATGACAAATTATTAAAGAACTCTTCACCTAATCATCACAGGAAAACAAAAGCAGTATTTAACTGTACTTCTGAAGTTAAAGTAATACCGTTTGTGCTAGAGTCATGTTTCTACACATATCTCAAGATTTTATTTTTGGTGAATACAAACCTCTAAAGTTTTTAGTTTTTTTTTTTTTAATAACACTTATAATACATATACATATAATAAAATCCAGTTGTTGGAATTTATTATATAAAATTTTATTATATAAAAATATAAAATAAAATCCAGTTGTTTGATTTTATTATATGTAGATTCCACAAACCATGAATCAATGCTGTTCTGACAGCAAAATTAAGAGGCACTTTCCTGCTTCTTTGGTATCTTAGATTGTCTCTATTTTTTTTTTAAAAAAAAAAAAAGCTACTACATTTTCATCCCCACTAACAAAAACAAAATTTTTTTTGTCAAAACTATTTCCTGATCATAAACAACCATAGGTAGTCAACGCGAGGGAACTATAAGAGTTCCTACAAATTACAGGGATAATTGTCACTTTAGGTTGTACTATAAACATCTCCTTCCAGCCCATTTCAAGTTTTTTTTTAAACACCAATTTCAAATTATGACTCAAATATGTTTTTCACTCTCCCACCTTTGTTTCCTGTGTAAAGAATTATTGTAGACTTTGTAAATCAGCGTCCAATTCAAATTTAATGATGGTTTGATATTTTACAAATGCCCATGTCATCATCTGGAAGTCATCTGGACTTCCATTTAATTAAAAAACGTTTAATCCACAAATAAAACCCTTTATAGAAGCATCTCAACCTTCAAGAACAGGGAAGATTTATTTTTAGTCGTTTGCTGCGATCAGTGTATTCTTATTTTATAGTTTCCCATCTCTATGGGATCAAACCGTGGATTGCTTTGAACATTATTGCTTGCGTAATAATTTGGAGGATTTTGGAAACCGTGACTTTTTTAAAAGTTCGGTGCATAACTTTTTTATTTACAAATTGCTAGCATTCCATAAAGGAGGCCACATTGAAAGCCTGTTGCGCCAAACATCTGAACGAAAACCGTTTATTTTTTTTCGGAGCAGGACATTAGATTTATTTCCGGAAACAATGCGCACCCCGTTTTGTATCCAGCTCATCACTCTTACCCTTGAGTAGCAGTTTTAAACTTACTTCATCTCAATTTTCTGTAGTAAGCGATGCTAACTGCCGTTAGCCAAACAAAACTTTTTACTCACCCATCAGAATCCTCATCTGTTTCTTCCCGAACAGCCGACCGAAGATCGACGAGATGGTGAGCCCCATGGCTGCCCGAAGATGTTTGACTATTTAAAACTAGAACTGATATTTAACCACGACAACAGCAACGCGAAATGTATTTAAAACGGGTCCGGCCACGGTTGCGGGAGGGAAGTTACTGTGATTTCACGCCAGACTGCCACGTCCGGTGTAAACGTGGAAGGCACAGCGTCATCAGTCTGAACCAGCTTTATTTGTCCACAGAGCCATCCCGAAAGATTTTACATATTTCTTTAAAGTGGTTTTTAGACAAACCTAGTGTTTTATATCAATTTAATTGGTTGAAGGCGGAAAATACATTTCAATCCAGAAGAAAACGTAAAATAACGTGTACTGTTACGTTTCACCCCCAAACTTTAATTCACTTACAAGACTTGTCACCTCCGTAGACATACCACTAGATGTCACTGTTTCACAGGATTTACAGCTTCTATTCAGCACAAACCAAGCTATATTTGTTTCATTGAAATCTAAGCATAAAGTTATAGATTTCTACATATATCAACGACCTACTGAGACATTTATATCTGTTAAAATATACCGTTATGTAATATGTGCAACTGCATAATATAGCAGCAGAAAAACAAGCAGAGGCAAACATAATTTTTACTATTTATCTACTATTTTACTCAATTAAATACAATTGCTAAAGCAATTTAAAATAAATATTCCAGTGGACATTATTTATTATCCTTATTGGAAGTGAGGCTGCTCATGTGGGGATTCCCATCTTAAAGAATGCCGTGATGCCAACAGCTCTTACCTAAACAAACCTCCGAGCAGGTGGAGTCAAAGCAGCAGCATGTGATAAGACGGAGAAGTTTATAAAGAATGTGCCCTGTGACAGGTTAAAACAGTTTCACAGAGGACTGTAACGAAACACATTTCATAGCAGCAGATATACTGAATGTGACGATATGAATATGCCAAATTCTACTCAGGATTTCAGTGGATTGCTGGGCAGTAAACAGGTAATTAAGAAAGTATTTTTTGGCATTTGCAATGTTTCTGAAGGGCACTCTGCTTATGATTTAAAGCTTTTTTTCATTTTGTTTTTCAGATTGATGCTCTCTCTATATTGTACGTAGTGGTGCTCTCTCTCAGGTATTGTGATTATTTGTTATATTTCCTGGAATATTTCAAAATAAAACTGATGTAGGCATGGTTTTGTGTCTGCAGCTCAGTAATGGCAAACTATTACGTCTCCAACACATATTTTCCAAACCTGCATAGCAGCATGCTCAGTGAAGGCAAATGCTATTTCTGTTTTTGGATTTTTGAAGTGCGCTTACATAATGTGGCCGTGTGACTTTCATAACTTGGAATTGTACGTCTCTCATTCCCAGTAGAGTCTGTCAAATTCAATGTTTCGTCTTCTAAGATTACTGTGTTTTACTGAACCAGGGGTTATGCTTTTACATATTAAACAGGTGTGTTAATGTTGTTCATGATTCAGTACAGATCAGGTGACAGAGTCATTAGTTTAGTGTTTTTTGCTTTTATAGTAACACATTTTTGGCTTCATTGGAATTTAGTTTCACATATGTAAAAGATAATTTGCCTTTGTGTGGTTCTATCTTAGCAGTGTTAACTTATAGCTTCTAATTAAATATGGAATTAATCAAGTGTGGTTGTTTTTTTTTTTTTTTTTTTTTTTTAAATTTATATAGAATTTTTTTAAAATCCATGATTTAAAAAATGTTTACCGTACAAATGAGTTTTAGCAGTCATGTTCACACAAATCCAAAAGTATAATATTTTAATTATCATGTTGGCAAATTTTATGAAAGTCATTTGAAAATATGTGTTTCCATTTCAAGTGATGTAATCTTAGTTTTTTTTTTATTTAACTTAAAGATTTAAGGGTCTTTTTCCCTTTATGTTTCTTTTTGGAAGCTTAGGGTTTGTTTAAAATTAAAATAAAAGATTTCCTCTAATCTCACTGTTCCTTCAATATTCGCAGTATAACTGGGAGTTTTTCAGTCTTGCTGGTTTCAACAATAAAATGGAGACACCTAAGAGGACAGGTGAGTTCAGGTTCTTATATTTTTAATTTTTGAGATGTTATGTTGTTGCATTTTTTTATTATTTTTTTATATAGCTGTGAAATGACTTAAAAGGGCATTAATACAACTTGTACCTTTTAACATTTTGTCATCAGACAATCACAAATTTTAAGATACTGTATTTAGTGGAGTTTTGTGATAAACCATGAAAGGAATGGAGTAACAAAGCAATTTACAAGAAGAGTGCTTCTAGCCCTTTTAAATATAAGCTAAAAAATAAAAGAATCATTATCATTTCACTTCAAAGGTATAGACTAATTTATGTTGGTCTATCACAAAAACCTCAATAAAATATCTTGACGTTTGTGGATGAACATGACAAAACTTGTAAAAAAAATTCCACGGGATATGAAGGCTTAGGTGGAGAATGACTCAACAACGTGATGCTGTTGGGGTTTTTCTGACCAGGACAGTTTTACAGCAAGTCCACATGTTTCAAGAGTATTTCTTTACAGGTTCACCTCTTGGTGCAGCTCTCTCTGGCCGACCTGCTGGCTGCTATCGTCCTGATGTGTACCAGTGTCATAAACAAAGTTCACCCGTTCAGTGCTGTCGTCTGCCCATACCTCCTCCCACTGTCACTGGTGAGAAACCGCATTTTCAGCAACGCCAATCATTTACAGGGCTGGTTCGTGCCTGGGCAGATGTTTTTTTTTTTTTTTTTTTTCAAAAGGAAATCTTAAACTCCTAGGTTAAAAGACAAGAAGAGATACAGTAAAATGGATTAAAGTAACCATTTTAGATTCCAAAAAAATTCTAGTAAAAATGGTATAGCTTTATAATGACTAACGATGTATTTATAATTTCAAAATAGCATGATTTAAAAATATTATTTGTTTACAACATACTAATAAATATGTTATAAGATATATCTTGCTCTCTGACAAACAAAAGTGCTTATAACTGTAGTTTGCTTCACTTCACACTGAGCGTTTGTGGCTTTTGTCATTTATTGCTGAACTTCTAGCTTATCCGGTCTTAACTCAAAGTTTTAAAACAAATGAATGAAGACTCAGCATCTCTTATGCATTTAGTCTACAGACATGGTTTACGTTCGGGTAAAGCTTCACGCAAAGTTACAGTTGTAGAAAGATCGTAGAAAGAGTAAAAATGTCCTGCAAGAACGTAATAAACACAATCCTCATGACAATGTCTGAAACTCCTCTGATCTCCCAGCTGACTTGAAGCGTTAAATACTTGTGTGCGTTACTGTACTTTAGATTATTCCTTTTAATAACTTAAATGAGCACATTGCGAATGATTTCTTGTGTGACTGTGTCTTCCAGACATTTTATTTCATTTCATTCTTGCTGGCCATCGTTTATGCCTTGAAGTCGAGGAATGCCATGCAGGGCTGGAGGGACAGAGCAGCAGATGAAGAAGATGAACATGTGAGGCAAAATAAGACCTTTATTTTGATTTACATGATTTTACATAATGTTGAAAGATTTAGTCATTTTATGCCTCTTTCTATGTCTGTCTTGGCTTGTAGAGTCAGTGTAGGAGAAAAATCAAAGCGATTCCTTTGTATGTCTTAGTGTGGTGAGTCTTTCAACTTTCCATTGTCATGCCAAAGCTTTCATAAGCAAACAGAGGCTGACTTCACCTCTCCTGTGTCACAGGTTGATGCCACTTGCCATTTACTTTGTTTATGTGTGCACTCTGTTGATAAAACCTGCCACGTTAATTCCTGCAAGTTCCAGATCGCAGGACGGGCTCAGCGATAACAGTAGCTCGTACTGTAGCAGGTGAGCATGCAGGTGGTCCATAATTTAAACTCACGCTAATTTATTGGAACTTGTTTTGTATAATTTTGATATCTTATTTTTATGTATATATTTTTTTCCAGCTGTATTTTGTTCTTGCATGTCTGGAAGGACCCTTGTGTTGGAGTGGTGAGTGTCCTGAACATGCTGTTACAAACTTTGTCCCCTGCCATTTCTGCATTGTGTTCATAGGTCATGTACAATTTTTTTTGCCAACAATGTCCTTAACTTTTTAAAAATATTTTTTTTAGGATAAGATACACGATACTTTCATCAGAGTCTTCCTTGCCATTGTAGTGATAACAGCAATGTTGTCTTGCTCTGTGAGTAATCAGCACTCAGATTATGTCAACATCATCATTAAAAACTATTTCAAATAGAAATAGTTCCAATAAATATAATGGTGGTTTGACAACACCAGCTAAAGACACAGATGTTATTTCCTGTCTTCTTCAGGTTATTTATTGGAAAATCGGGAAGTGGCATGAACAGTACATGCAAGTTGGACTCTTCCCTGTGGAGGGAGATGGGCATTTAAGAAGGCAACTCAAAAGAGTGTTTTCTACAGCACGAAATATCGTTATGGTCATATTATTCTGTTGGGCACCAGGTACTTTGACACACGTGCAATTAAAATTAACAATCATCTGTATTTTAGCTTGAAAACTAATATTTCACACTTGATTCTTCTGCAGCACTCCTCCTCCTTCTGATTGCTCCCTTGATGATCTATATGAATGTTAAACAAGACAGTTTATATGGACTGTATTTGATACAGGTTTGTATCGCTCGAGCTTCTGATATAAAATGCCATATGCCATAATTGTTTACAGCTTTTTCAGCTACGTTCAGAGTTGTCGCTTGTATGAGAGTTAGCAGAGTTAGAGTTGAAGTTGCTTTTGTAATGACAAACTTATTCAAAAATACAACCCCGATAGAAGCTCTAATTTTGTTTCATAAAGTGAACAGTTATATAGTGATTTATTCAGTGAGGAGGAGAAAGTTGAGAGAAATTGTGTCTTAGAGCGGATACCTTGGAGATTTAACAAACCGGCAACCTACAGAGATATTTAATTGCACTTCCTGTCCATGTTGTGAGTCAGTTCCTGTTGTATACTCAGAGTTGTGGCAGATTGTGACTTTTGTACTCAAAGTTTTCACTCAATTCTTTTTTTTCTTTTTGCCAGTCACTGGCTACATATCCATTTGAGACATTCCCATTTAAAATGCTAAATGTACAATGGTCTGTTAAACAATGTAGATATAGATTGTGCATTCTCATCCATTAATGTTTCTCAGTTCCCATTTTCGAGTGATAAGCAGCTTAAAAAGCATATTTTTTGCTGTCACAGACCTTTCAGAAATTACTACCTATTTGAAAAATGGGTAGCATTTGTCAAATAGGTCTTAGAATTTTAACTGAGTTTGTTTTTATAACATTGTATATTTTAATTATTATTTTTAGGCTGCCACCGTGTCTCTCCAAGGATTCCTGAACAGCATGGTCTATGCCTGGAGACGACCAAACTTCACAGAAGCTGTTCTTGGGGAAATCACACCTCTGCTGAGATATAAACAGAAGACTCCCTACTTTGAGGAATCTTTTCATTGCTGACAAAAAAAAAAAAAAAAAGAAGAAGCACTTAGTGATGTTGTTATGCTCCAACATGGAGCACCGATCTGAGAAAATCAAACTGGACACTTTATGACAACTTGGCTATGAAGCCTGAAACACAAACTCAATTTGTGAACTGAAAATGTAAAAAAAAAAAAACAAGAAAGATTGTATTTTTAATGAAGGAAAAGCTTATGCATATGTTAATGAAACCACTGTGTGAATTTTGTCATCCTTTGATTGAAGTCATATTTATATCATTATAATTTAGGCTTAAATGTGTTGAGGATATATGATATTCTCTTTATCAGTATATACATATGTATAGATGTTTGAAGTTAAAAAAAAACTAATTGTCTGTTATTGTCTTTAAAGTGTTTTGTAACTGGCATGTCTGTCATTTTGTATTTATTCATTTTGGTCATTAAAAGGTTTCTATGACCAATCATTCGGTGACTTGTGAGTTTTCAGTCTTCTTGTTAAAAGAGAATCCACGTGAATCCTATGATGTGTGTGTTCTTTGTAAGCCAAAATCATTTCATTTCACAAACACGTGCTACGGCAGTAAGTTCAATGTTTGGATTCTTTAAGTGCTGGAGTACTCAGGAATGCTGAGTTGTGACAGAATTGAAGGAGAACACTGTATCTGCACTGTCACAATCGTGTGTAACCACAGCTGTTAACGTATCTCATAAAAGGAGCTGTGCATGTTTAAGCAGCTAGGGTCACACATGGGACATACAAACACACACACACACGCACACATGTTGGGTGTACTGTACACTCACTGACCATGTTTGCATGTTTTTAAGGTGATGGTGTTCCTTTGACAGTATTTTTTTAAAGGAATTGCTCATGCTCAATTCCAGCGTTTTCCAAACCTTTTTCTTTTTTTTTTCTTTTTGTGCCATAGTGTGTCCATCTTCTGATGGCTACCTCAGTCACATTACTCCAATGACCTCCACACTCACCAGATATCAATCTAGAAGGGAGAAACAGGAGATTTGCATCATGGACATACAGCTGACAAAACTACAACTGCTTGATGCTCTCATGTCAACATGGATCAACATCTTTAAAGAATGATTTTTGGCATCTTGTTGAACGTGTTGCAATGAATTAAGAAACTCTAGAGCAAAATGAACTCCACCCTAGAACTGGCAAAGTACGGTAGCTGCTAAAAAATATAGACACAGTCAAATATTAGAAATAGATATATGGGTGAAACATGACTGTTAGGTCAATTGCTCATTAGTATTGACCATGACAAACATACCTTTACCAATGATTCTCTTTTTGCCACTATCAAAGTTAATAAGAGGTAAACTTTCCTGACTTGTAGCTGATGGGTGTGTTCACCTGCTGAGGTAAATGCAGGTTTTATGGCCATCAATCATTTACAGAATTGTTCACCAGCTACACTGAAATTAAACCATGTTTTAAGCCGGTGATCACAAAAGGTTGTGGCTTTACTGCTCTCCTCTACATTGTAAACGCTCTTTGTGAGCATTTTTTGCCTAAAATAACACAACTTAGTATTTTGAATAGATCTGATATAAAGATTTATGAAGATTAAAACTTGTATTAGTGTCAGCCAAACTCACATTTAAATTTAAGACTGGCTTCTTATTTATGTCAAAGACATTGTTTGCTTGGAGTCAAAAGAGTAACAAAATCTTCTTTACGTAATCAGCTGAAACTCCTGAAAAATACTTCAACTAGTGTATGTTTACTGACAGTATCTTCAAAGATATCCCTCCGTGGTATGAGAAGTTACCGAGGGCAACGGCAAAATCCCAATTTTCTTTTGTTTTTCAGACTGAATAAACACCATAAGCAGTTCTTGAACAGTAAATTCGCTGAGAAAAGGTTGACCTATTCTTCAAGTACAAAGCTTACCTTTATCTCAGAATCAAATTGTTGAGTCATTTTCCTGCTGTAAAGAGGTCATTCAGTTGCAGTGGGTGTACCTGTTGACCTAGTTTCCCTTTCAACTGTGCTGTCTATTATATAACGCTCCACTGATTCAATGCCTATTCATGGACACTTGAATACAAAGAGATCCAAAGTGTCCGATACACCATCTTCTTACTGCTGATAACTCTGGAGTGTTTTTTTAAAATAACATTTTCATTTATAATGAAATTAATGTTGGTAAACTACCTCAACACACTAGTGATTCTTGGGCACAACAGACCAAAGGTCAAAACCCTGTACAATAAAAAGCAGACGCAATGGCACTAAAAAGCCCTGATAATTTGTCTGCATGACAGCTGTTACTGTAATAATTTTCCACCAAGTCAATTTGCTAAATATAGCAACTAAGCTGGACAAATTTGGAACATCCCAACTGAAAACTTCACAGGTTTTAGAGATGCTGTGGCTGCGGATGCCCTGAATACCAGTTGAAAACAATCCTAGAATGGTCATCAATAAAGAACAATAAAAATGTTCTACTTTTTAAATGTTTACACGTCCTGTTCAAAACTGACCAAAACAATGATACAAAGTCTAACTCAAGGTAACTTCTGGATTTTGGTTTCATTTTGATTATTCCTGCTAAATTGTCAAATGATCTTTTCTCATGTGCGGAGTGGCATAAATTCAAAGTGTGTCAGTCGTGAAATGAGAAATATATAACGCAAGTTTATAATGTTTGAAAAAGATCTGTATGCCAGTGGGATAGGTCAAATAGGTCAAATACGTTTATGGGGCAAATTCCTGTAAACACACTTGTTAAAAGAAACCAGATAAAAACCTTTCTCACGACTGGGAAGACACACTTTTGGATCATTTATGTTGATGGCTCAAATAAAAACCGTGAGGTATTTGTCCATTAAAATTGCACTTCATTTCAACATCCTAAACACACGTGTCAAAAAAGAGAAACAGAAAGCATCTCAATGTGTGGAAACTAAGAATCCTCAATTTTTTCCACACATGCGTTTTACAAGTCATAAGGTCTATACAAAAATATCTATAATCACTTTAGAACAGGGGTGTCAAACTCCAGTCCTCAAGGGCCACTATCCTGCTGTTTTTAGATGTGCCACAGCTACAAAACACTGGAATGAAATGACTTCATTACCTCCTTATTGTGTAGATAAGATCTCCAGAGTCCTGCTAATGACCTAATTATTCTATTCAGGTGTGGTGCAGCAGAAGCACATCTAAAAGTTGCAGGGCAGCGGGCCTCCAGGACTGGAGCTAGACACCTGTGCTTTAGAATAATCCCATGTAGGCTTCACTGATCTATATCCTGTACTTTTTTTTTATGCTTGAGTCACTTTAAAATTATGCTAATCCCATGAAACCATTGGAAATGCTCTGTTTGGTGTTCTCACATGAAGGTTTCATAAATCCTAAAACCTGTTCAGTTTTTAACCAAACACTGTGCTGTAACCTTAATGAAAAGAGACAAGTACAATGGCAAACAAGGTGAATCTGCTTTTATCTTTATGTTTTATTCACATCAGCACAAAAAACTGTCTCTAAATCCCTGTAATTTGTAACGTTTCTCATGTTAAAAGTCCATGGAATGAGATCTTTGCTGAGCCATGTCATATTTTCCCCTTCGGCTTCCTGCTCTTCTGACATACAGATCATACCTCCCCTCTTCCTCCTCTTCCTCGTCGTGTTCTTCCATAACTCTGTCCTGCTGCCACAGCACTCGATCCCTGATAGCAGGGTGGCTCTGCATTCGGCTCTGTTTTAAACTGGGCCAGCTCTTCTTCCGCAAGTTGTTGTTTATGCCCCTGAAAGGCGGCGCAGTGGTCTGACTGTCCCTTCTGAACGGGGGGAGCTCCAAGGACGTCTTGCCCAAGACATTTGAACTGTGGCCTGGTTTGAGGGAATTGATAGATCCCTGTGAACCGCAGTGATGTTCGTGAACGCAACGAGAGCCCGATGAAGATCTCCTCAGAGCCTGGAGGGACAGAAGTTCCTCTGAAAGATCCCTCAAGTCTCCAGACATCTCCTAAAAAACAATAAAAATATCAGGCATATCATTTTAATATGCACATAAAGAAAATTATAGGTATGTCGGTAAGTGGTGAAAGTTATGAAGTTAACCTTGTCTCTGATAGAAAACAGCTCGTAGTGCTGAGGGTCAAACATCTTCTGGAGGTGAGGATGGTGGAACAGTTTTTTCTTACGTATCACTACCTTGAAAATATGATCGAAAGCAGTTCATACATGCAGTTGTGGTTGAAAGAAAGTGCACCCTCTTTCAGTTCTGTGTCTTTATATATCAGGACATAACTGTGATAATCAGGTCTATAAAACTGTTTAAATCAAACATCAAACTTCAAAAACACAACAAATTCTACATTGTCATTATGAAAGAAACATCAAAACGAAACGATGTGTATGTGTGGGAAAAAAAATAAGCACACTCTAGATGAGACTAGATTGCTTTATTATGTCCTGATTTGAAAAGGTTGAACAATGAAAGGCAGAAGGTTTTGATTACCTTTTTTCGTGGTTGCTTGACTTGCACCATTATGGAGAAAATTAGGAGCAACATCACTACCCCGGTGGAAATGCAGATGATTGTTCCCTGAGTCTTTGTGATCTGAAGGAAAGCAACTTTATTCTTTTTCTCTGGAATGTAGACATGAAGGAAAATGTAAAGACAAGAAAATATCAGAGGTTCTACTGCAGTCATGGACTTGTTACCACAGGTCAGTTTATATCAACCTCCTAGCCAGTATCAATTTGGAACCTTGGTTGAATAAAAATGCGGAAATCTGCAGTAAATCTCTGCTTAAACTCATGGTAAAAAAAAAAACTGAAGTTCTAGGTTTTTACATATTTTGCATGTTTAGTTTGTCGCATACTTTATGTTTTCTTCAACTGTTAAATATTGTAACTCTGGAATCTTCTCTGAGTGGTTTTCTCCTTACGAAGTTAGGTTGAAAGCTCTCAAACTTTATGAATACCAGAAAATTTGAATGTTAAAACCCCAGAACTGGCAGAGGATCCGCTTCATCTTGACCCTGACCCGAATGACCCAGAAAATCTTTATTGTTTTTAGATGTAAAACAGGACAAGATGATAAGCTTTCTAAGTTTCCCACACGGAGGAATTTTCCAACAAATTCCTACTATTTGGTTGTTCTGCAGATTCAGTGTACAATTTTTCACACAACTCTGGCATCTTGATGTTAGAACTGCAGAGAAGTACAGGCCTGACATGACACCAGTATCTGTCAAACAGCACAAGCAATGTTTCTGGCAGTGTTTTGGCAGAACTGCGGTACCTTGGCAGTTGTTTTCATCCCAGGGGAAGACGCAGTTTTGTACGCCGTTGCACACCAGAGAGTTGTTGATGCACATGTTGCTGTGGCAAAAGAACGCACCGCCAATACAGGGAGCTAAAACACAGACACAGTGGTGTTGTATGGGACGTATGCAGACAAGCCAGTTATAGACAGTTTATTCAAGTTCAGCTGTACTTGTAAAGAACATCCGTCAGGTAGAAAACTTTGGACGCCCCACTTGACATTCAGTACTTTCAAAATAAATGCTCAGATATCTGTTTAATTGTTGTTCTTTATCGCTTAAAAAAAGTGAGACATTTCTGTCAGCATCTTGCAGTCGGCTCTCGGGATGAACCTGCTCAGAAAGTCAGTGCTGTTAATGTTGGCAATCTTAGATGTCCTTCATTTGGAGCCACAATATAATTTCTGGTTTGAACATTTTATTTACGCCTTTGTGACTCTCTTCCCAGCATCTACAACACTAACTTTGGATGCTTCAGACAGCTTTTCCAATCTTAGCATTGGAAAAGTTCAACAGTCAGGAGGAAACCAAACTAAATGGCAGAGGTTCAAATAGGACCTAATTTAAAACATTGGTTAACTGAAATACCTATGTAAAGTTTGTAGATTTTATTTATAATTTGTTGGTTTTAAAATGTATTTATTTATTCTGTTTTAAAAGTTTACATTACTGTAAACATTACTCCCTCTAAATATCTATATGTCCAAATATGTTAGTAAAGCAGACTGCTGTGGGGTGTACTAGTTTCAAACATGATTATATGTAACTGCTTCTTAAAGTGTAAATTATAGACCAGATGGTCTGTGGTTTTAGTAATATTAAACTTAACCTCACTCGAAGATGCAGTGATTAAATGTAACCACATGAATGTATTGTTACAGATCTAATAGTTACATCTATGAATAAATACATTGAACTGCTTCTTAAACCGAATGGGGGAAAATGCAAAGAGGGACAAAGATTAATGTGAAGGAGGAACTCACGGTCAGAGAAAACTGTGAACAGCATCTTGAAGCGGCTTAGACGGCTTGTCTCATCCGCCCACATCCTCACCACTCCGAAACCAGTCTCCAGCATGATGTCATTAGCGACTGTACTACAAAACTTGGCCTGCAAGAAACCGCATAGCACTTTCATCAAAATACATAGTGTGCAGTTGATGAGCTTAAACATTGTGAGTGGTAGGAGTGCCCAGTTTTGATGTACTTAATGAAGTAAAAAATATTGATTTTCCAGAATTGAACCAGCTAGTGATTAGAATCAATCAAAAATAATAATAATAATAATAATAATAATAATAATAATAAAAGCTGATTCCACTCTCTGGCCAATCGATGGGTGCATCTCTGTTTAAAATATGCTAAAATGTTAGATGGGGTATTTACCTTGAGGTCCTCAATGGCACTACTGCCGTCATAAACAGCCACAAAATTCTTCTTACATTCATTAGAGTTTTCCATCTGATATTCCAAGAATTTAAGGTAAATCTGAAAGAAATTTTTAAAACAAGAGAAAAATCCGTGGGATTGCTACTATTTAAGGTAATATGGTGTCACAACATGTAAATCCTGCTATTTTCGCAACAGAAAATGCTGGAATAAAGTACGCACTGGCTGGAGACTCATTTTTCTGTAGATAAATCCCATTTCTTTCTCTCACTCGTGAGTTTATGCTTTCAGGCTATTCCGTATTTCTATATGTTAGAAGAAGTGCTTATTTAGGAGATAATTGGTGTATGCAAAAATGAAACATGCCACATGCCGTACTCTGCTCTTCATTGGGGCTTGTACGGTCCAGATGCAGTCCACTGCCTGGTCCGGCTTCACTTTGTTCTCCTCCTCAACCTGGTGGGAGCGGATCACGCCGTCAAACCCAGTTAGCTCAAACTGACAATCTGAACCACAGCAGACACAAAACATAATCAAGGAGCATAAAAAGAGATAAGCAGACGCAATCTAACTTCTTCAGGACATTGACCGATAGGCTAATCTAAGGAGATATGACTTGTGGCTGACCTACCTGGGATGGGGTTTAAAAGGCCTCCTACATGTAGATGAAATTCAGGATCTTTGCAGAAAATTACAGAAACAGAGTATTTTTTAATGTATAAAAATAAAAAATAAGTAAATAAAAATGAAGTTTCAGTAACACTTTATTTGAAGGGGTGTGCATAAGACTGACATGACACAGTCATAAACATGACATAACCTCTGTCATGAACATAAAGAAGTCTATATGAATGTCTATGACTGTTGTCATGAAGTGTCATTTGGTAAATAATGACACTTTTAATGCAAAGTTGCCCTAAAAGTTGCATTAAAAGTCAATTAAAAAATGCCAACTTTGCATTAAATTATCATAATTTACAAAATTGTGCAAAGTTAGCATTTTTAATTGACTTTTAATGCAACTTTTAGGGCAACTTTGCATTAAAAGTCTCATTATTTACCAAGTGACACTTCATGACAACAGTCATAGACATTCATATAGACTTCTTTATGTTCATGACAGAGGTTATGTCATGTTTATGACTGTGTCATGTCAGTCTTATGCACACCCCTTCAAATAAAGTGTTACCGAAGTTTCTGTAAGAAACAACCAAACCGACTTTATGCATTTCATTCACCTGCAGTAAACGTATACTGGACCTGGAATCCTTTCCCCTCAAGCTCATCATCACTGAAGAACCGGATCCACATGAAGCGTCCACTGGAGAGGATCCGGCCGGGATTGGCTGTGCCGCAGTAACGATTGATGAGCGTTGAGAAGCTGAAGGGACCGTCCCTCACCTCGATGTGGTCAAACCGACACTCAAAAGACGCTTCGATTTGGAAGATCTTGCTGAACTGAAGCTCCACCCTCTGACGGGGCAGGGCTGCAGAAACATGAGCAGAGCAGTGTGTTATTTATTCTGCAACAAACCACAATCTGGGATTTAACATTATTAATAAAACAGTGCATTGAAAGAACAATCAAAATGCTTAAATAAAAACCAACAATTGATCCAAAAATTGTACACACCCTGGTTGAATTTTACGTTTTTGCTATGTAAAACAACTGAGGCCAAAATATAATCATTTCAAAACTTCTTCCACTTAATGTGACATGTATCCTGTACAATTTCTCTGAAAATACAAATCAAGATGTCAGATTTCCCTCAGATTTAGTTCTGTACTCTGATTGGCCAGACAATGATGTTAATTTTGAATGCATGCTTGGATTCACTATGACATTGATCAAAAACAAAAGCTCACTTTATCTTCTGTTTTTAGGGAAATATTGGAATCTCTTGGGTCAAGGCTGACTGGTCCTGCACAAAATAACTCTGTTTCATCTGAAAAGTAATCCCCAGCATCATTCTCACATCATTATTGTGAGAATGGTGTAAATACTTGGTGGGGTTGTGTCAAAAACCACAGAAGTTCAAACTTGACTTCATCAGACCTTCTGCCACAAGACTTGAAAAGCTTTTAGACAATCCTGAATCTTTTTCTTTGTTTTCTAACTTTATTTCTCTCTCCGCATGTGGAGAATCCAGCACATTAAAATTTACAGCTTTGCAATAACTCTGATGTACCACATTTTCTCATGGTATTTATTTTACTGAGTAATAAATATAAAATGCTGTTGATGTGTTTTTACTCTCCTCCTGACTGATACATTTACACATTAAGATATTTTCTAATTCTTTCTAAACTCTGCAAAATGCAAAATAAAGAAAGAGTATAAAGTTTTTAAATTTGATGAGTCTTTTTTTTTACATTATAAAACTTGTCATTTTAACAGTCAATAACTAAGAGTTACCTTCCAGTACATAAAGGCACTCCTTGTTCGGAGGGTACGTGTTTGGGTAGTTTGGGGAGCTGAAGCTTCCACCGTCTGATTTCCGAACCCAGGTCCCACAGTGACGGTTGTTCCTCGACTGCTCAGGGGGCCTGCTTCCTTTAGCTCCTGCACCTCCATCTACAAATGACATGAACTTCTTCAGTCAGTTGGGAATGTGTACACACTTGTGCACTCCTGTTAAAGAGGATAAACGTCAATGAGAAGACAAAAATTACCTTTAATCTTCTGTGCAAGAGAAAATCCCTCTTTGGTGAATAGGAGGAATATCCAGACTGTAGGAGAAGCCATCAGCACACGATGCCACAGTGAGGAGGGGAACAATCAAGGAATAAGAGAAAGATAGAGAGAGCTTAGCAGGATTTGCTTTCCCATGGTTGATGTCTTGGTGCATCTAGCAGAATCTCTTGATGTATATAAGAGGTCAGAGGTAAGGAGTTCAATATCCCGCATGGAGCGTAAGACCTTGATGCTTCTACCATCTGTTTGCTTTCTCTGCTCTGTCGTTTGCCAACATCCTTTTGTGTGTGGGTTTTTTTTTTTCTTCAGTTTGCCTTAGAGCTTAAATGAAGGGCAGAACCGTTGAAAATCTGCCACCTTTGATTTAATGCAGGGGTGTCGCATAGTAAACAGAGAAATCACGTGGCGTAATTCAGACACTGCACTGTATAATCAAATGAAACTTAAACAGGTAAGTTTCCTGCTGACCAAAAGTTGCTGAAAAGCCCTTTGAATATCTTGACCAAAGTCATCTGATCTTATTTTACGCTTAATGTGCAAACGATTCAAAAATATTTTCTACAAGCTTTAAACCTCTTTTTACTGACAACATTAAGATGATGCATGATTATACAGCTTTTTTAAATCAGTTTTCTTGTTTCTTCACATTCACTGTAATGCTGCCATGTGCTGCATCACTTAAATGAGCACAAATGTAATTAAAAATATAAATAAAAAGATAATAACTGTCAATACAGTAATAATAAAATAAGGAAAATATGCTAACTTTCTATTACAATCTCTTTACACTTGATAATAATGAAAATGGAAGGCAAATTTTAAAGTTTTAACTCAGTTAAAATAAGAAAATAAGTCAATTAACACTTGACTTAAAAAAAATAAATTCTTTCTCTTTTTAAAGCGAACAAGCGGTGCTAAACCACTTTTAGATCAGAACATGCAAAACGTTAAATAAATGAATCTAAGAAGCTTAAACTAGATGCCCTGTGACCAGTGGACTTAAACTGCAAATGACAGATATAGGTTTGTGAATAACATAATATATGTCTAAAGAGAAAGCTGCCAGATTAAAGAAGCCCTCGCGACTCTTTAATCCACCTCAATCGCTCAAGCAAGAAAGCATATCAAAGAAAACAGATTGATCTCACTCACCTGCATGCATATTTTAGCTGGACTTTATTTTCAAACTCTACCAACTGCGTGTCCCACACATCCCCTTTTAAGTCTGGGCTTCGGATTAGCGCATGGTGACATTACTGATTTTCAAAATCCGGTTTCCACATTTTCATCAGAGTGAGGCGGCCTTGGGTGAAAAGAAACATCGGTAAAAGTTTGGATTCATAATCGGCATTCCCTGACATAATAGGTTTCCGGGGTAAACGGACAGCTCCCACAAAGCTCAGCTTCCTGCTCTCCTATAAACTGATGATCCCTCTGCAGATGCAGGAGGCTTTAAGACGGAGCTCAGTTGGCGCTGGATGAGGGAAACGATGATTGCGCATGTGCCTCATCATAGCAGTATTATAAGTTATTTGATAACACAGCCGTGTCCTGCTTTGGGTTAGTTATTTAACCCAAGCTGGGAATTCCCTTTTTGAAGTATTTAGTGGAGCCATTTGCAGGAAGGAAAGGCATTTTCACTGTGTTTTAAAATTAAAAGCAAACAAATGCACCCGTTTCTAGGAAACTTTAACTTGGAGCTTTGAAATGATCTTTTTGAGTCAGTTTTGTCGAACATAAGGAATATGTAAGGAGGTTGATAGATTTACACAAGCTGGAAAAGTCTTTTGAGGACATTTCTAGACAACTAAAGATTTTAAGATCATCAGCTGAATCTGTAAGTAGAAGTGATGTGGATATCAACCCAACCAAAGAAGATCCTGAATAGTCACACTTAGATCAAATTAAACTGATTTGGAGGTTTTGTTTCCACTATCTAATGCATCCTCCAACTTCTGACTGACCCTCAGATCAGTCACTATCTCAACAGGAGAATTACAAGCTGTGCTGAGTCATGTGTGACAGTATAATGGGGGTGGGACAAAGAAACTTCCTTGGAATCAGTACAGCTGTTGCTTGACAGTCTCGCCATGTCAACAGATTGTTCAGACTGAGAGAATACAAGCACTACTTAGTAGGTTCCAAAGAAAATGAATTAATTGAATGCAACTTCTATGGGACCAGCAGTTTATCTCTGTGCATTTTACCTTTTTGTTTTTGATCAGTTTCAGCTACTTTGGCAACAGATCCCATCTTCCACATGGTGGAACGGCTTCCAACATCCCATTTCCCTGCTCTCTCTTCTCACATGTCTTAATCCTTCAGATTTTATTGTCTCTGAGCATCAGATATTACAGTGTAGATTATGTCAAAACTAGTAACTCTTATGTATGCGTTCTGGGCAGTGTTTAAATGCATAAAAAACAGCATAGCTGCAAATATGCAAGTTGTTTATCTGTACAGTCGATGTGTAATTTATACTTTTATATTTCTTGGAGGACCTTCAAAGTTGTTTGCTAAATAAAACGCCGTTATCCACATGAACTTACACTTGAAATTTCCTCATCACCATTGATGATTCTTAGCATAATACCCGGCTTAGAGTTCAGAGCTGCGCTGTCCCGGGAGGTCGAGACCCTGAGAGTTAACACAAATACCCGATTCTTAGACAGATGCAGACATATCATGAGGCAGGACGAGCTGCTGCTAAACTCTGTTCTTATCTCCGGCCCGTATGACAATAGATTACACAAAGACAGGAAATAACTGACCTCATAAAACAAATGCGAGCCCTCCAAGCATCTTACACTCCAATCTATCAACCACACTGATTTCCACAGATGTGCCATAAAGCTACACGAGGAACTCATTTTGAACTTTTTGCCCCCCCCCTCACAACACAGCAGATTAGAAAAAAGTTATACAACAAATATTAGACAAATATCAGAAAGAGAATCTTGCGTTGTAAGCCTTGACAAGGACTTTTAAGTAAAATCACTGGTGGGATAAGGTTTTCTTGTTCATATATATTTGAGATTATGGCCCCTGATTTATCTGTAATCCCATGCTTGTGTCTTTAAATTGACAACGTTTCTTCATCGGATCTTTTTATGCTCAATTCCTGTTGCAGGGGTCGAGCTATTTGTTCTGCCTAGAAAAATATATCCTACACTTATTGGCCACTTTATTTGGTACACTTGTTTAATTTCAACCAATCAAATGGCAGCAACAAAAATCCTTTCAGGCATATGAGATATTTGCTGAAGTTCAAACAGCATTTGCATGAGGAAGAAAGGAGATTTAAGTGACTTTGAACTAATCTAAATGTTTGGGAAACTGATAATCTACAGGATTTTTCCAATGGTCAGAAAAAGAGAAAATATACAAAATGACAAGACAAAGGACGGAATATGACTTTTTTAAGGTTGCATTAAACCATGGACAGGTTCACTTCAAAACTCAGCTTTCACAACTAAGTAGGTAAAAAAAAAAGTCGCTTTCCTTACGTAGGTGTTAAGTGATTTGTCCTGTTGTCTTTGTAATATGTTGTCTTTATACTAGCACCAACATCCAATAATATAATTTTGGATTTTATACATATTTGCTGGCACAGATAAAATGATTTTTTATCTGAGCCAGCTGGAAAACCTTCAATGAATCAAACTCTTTCTAAGCCGGTGCTCTTCTGCACCATATGGCCAATCGCAATGTGGCTTTCCGATTTTCTAGTTTTCTGAGACAGATGGCCAATGATAATGACACTTACTCACAGCAGGGATAAGTCTGTTGCAATAACTTTAAGATCAAGGTACCAGAAGCCCAGATTAGATTCAGAATAGATCAGGTAAAATGTATGTCTGAACTCTGCTACTGAATTTATAATTTCCAGTAAAAAAAAAAAAATAAAACATATTAACATATGTTAATATGTTTTAATTTTTGCACAGTTGCATGCATAACCTTTTGAGTTTCATTCCAGTTCTTAAACATTGTGACAGTAACATAAGATGTGTAATAAATCAAACCGTCATACTGATGCTCTTATATAAGTAACTTTAAGACTTTTTGGTCATGTTTGAGCTGAAATTCAGCATGCAAGAAAAGCAGCGACAAGATTTATGCCATTAGTGCACAGAAATCTTCTTACAGCCTGATCTTTGGATGTGGCAGGAAGCCTGGGGGAGGATGAGTCCCATGCTAAACTCAGTTCTGCACAGATGGATTTTTTTTAATGTATTGATATTTTTTTATGTGCTTAACTGAGCAGTGAGGCATTATTGACAATATTTTCAGTGTTAGATTTGCTGTTTAATGTTTGCTTTTTTTAATTTTCAACTGAATGCAGCTTTGCACATGTCTAGCATATCTACTGTGGTAAATAGTCATCCGTGATATGTGGTTCAGTTGCTAAGAGCTATCTGCTGTAAATAACAACACAGATGTCGTGAGAGATTCTGAGGATTTTCGTTCCAGTTGTATTTACCAGTTAAAGCCAATGATTATTTGTTGTTCCTAAAATGCACTTGACTCGAAAGCTTTAGGGGAAATTACATTGTACGTGTAACATGCTGGCTGACTTGAGATTTCTTCTTTTTTTTTTCCCCCCCACCCTTCTTTTCCCGTTTTTAATTGAGTCAAATATACAAAGCTGCTCTTTGCAATCAAGGCCTAAGCACTTGCCCGTCGAAGCTTAAGAGAGATAATTAAAAGGGCCAAGTGCAAGATGGCAGCCCTGTGTGCAGAGTGACAGAAAGTGAAAATCTGATACAGAACTGCTGGAGACTTGGAGATTAAGCCTCCAGCACTTTGGTTTGTAATGTAAAATAAATAAATGCGGTGTTTTAAGATATTGCAGAAACCTTGTATATTGTCAATTTAATAAAACAAAATTGATTAAATTTCTTTATTAAATTATTATTTTTTATTTTTTTTTCTCGAAAAGCAAATAACTATAATGCAATCTAAAGAAAGAGTTTTGTCTCAGCCAGTTTCGTAAGGCGGCGGTAACAAGTTGCAATGCACTGAATCCAACTGTGAGTGGCGCTAAGGAGACTATTTGTCTCGTTATTTAACAGAACACGTTATTTGATTCTTTCACTGGCAGAACTGTAATGGCGGTCTGACCAATCTTGAATGTAAATTCTGAAACTGGAAAGAGAATGTGCCCTGTTTAGCGTCAAATATGGCGGAAAAACAGCGGGCGCTCCCTTCGTGGATGGCAAAGAAAGAGGTTAAAGTGAAAGAAAAGACGCCACTGAAGAGTCTGAGAAAAACAAGAGCTCCAAGGTATCGACAAAGAAAACAATAGTTCGCCAGTTTTAGGATTCAGTTGTGGTTAATTGTCGTTTGTCCAACTAACAGCTATGCACTGGTTTGTCCTCAGAGCTACGTTTTACTGTATGAACGAGGCGGAGCTGGTAGAAGCTGCTGTTTCATTTCTCACCCAGAGTTCCTACGAGGATGCGTCGTTCCCGCTTCGCCAGAAGGTGGCACTGTTTTGCATGATTTTCTTTCCTTCTATTTTTGATGCCCAAATCTGTTAAAACGGGTGTATCACCTACTAAAGGACATTACTGTTGATTAAAACAAATTTAAAACAGTTATATTTAGAAAGGAAAAATATAAAACAATACAACAATAACAAAATTTAAACAAAATCAAAATGTTTTGGTTTTATGCCATTTTTGTGAGGAGTATTTTGGAATCATTTCTTCATCAGAAGTTTATTAATATTTGGTGTTAGATTGTGACCTGTGTAAATCTGATGATGAAGTTGCACATAGCTTAAAATAATGGCCTAGTTCATGTTTCCCAATATAATTTTGGGAAAAAAGGAGATGGTGATTTATTTATTTATTTTTTTGCCAAGATCGCTTTTGGAAAAAAAAAACCGACTTAGGACATTATTTTAGAAAGGTATCACAACATTTAGAAAGGGAATACAACATTATGGATTCTGACAGGTTATGTGAATAACACTGATAATCCCTGGTAATAGCTGAGAAATATTAGAAATCAAGTTAACATTATGTCCTCAAAGTTAGCCAGGAAAAATGGGCAATGATTGACATGAGTTTAACAAGGGCCAAATTGACAACTGGGTCAAAGCATATCCAAAATTATAGCTTTGCTGACATGTCTCCAGTCTGCAGCGGCCTCTATTTGTTAAATAGTGAACCGAGTGAAGAATATGAACCAGGAACAGGGAAGTGGTTGGCCAAGCTTCACTGATGCACATAGTCCGTGAAGACGTGACCATCTGAACTGGATCACAGACAAGGGAAGAAAACATCCTGGTCTGATGAATGATGAATGCTTTCTTCCTGTGTGTGCATAGTTTATTCAAAAACCAGGCAGAATATCACTTTGACATGTTCCTCCCTCCCTCTGAAACACAGGTTGAAGGAAAAGCAAATCCCACCTCCAGAAAGGATGTAGACCCAGCCACTTCGGAGATAAAATCAAAGCCAGTGACGTCGCCTTTAGAGGAAGAGTCCTCAGACTGCTGTGATGACCTGGAAATGACATACGTTTCAGAAACAGACTTGGACATTACAGAGGTGGAAACTGTGCCTTACTGCAGGAACACACAACATCCTGAACCCGAAGGAGAGAGATCAGCATCTGCCCAAGGTCACTGTGAACCCAACAACAATTTGCAAGCTGACAAAGAAAGTGAGCAACTGTCGACGGCAGCAGAGGAAGACGATGCTTTGCAGCTTGTACGAGAAATATTTTTCACCTGACTGAATATGTTTTTAAAAGCGTTTTTAAGGAAATTTTAAGTATTTTATGCCGCAGCTAAATTACTTAATTGAAGAGATGACACCAAATGTAGTTATTAATATTAGTTTTGGGAATAAACGTCCAATAATTGACATGGACGTCACTGCGGTGGACAAATCTAAAGTGAACTGTAATGTCATTGAATTTGTAGGATGTAAAGCTGTAATCTGATCACTAAGAATGAATTTTCTTACGTGAACTGTAATTGTTTACGTACATCCTGATCAGCCAGGTGAAAGTCTAAAACACGTCATATATGACTGTTTAAGTCAAATATAAACCATTAGAAATGCACATTTCTAATTATTTGCTTTTCTAACCATTAGCAATGCTAATAAACCAATTTTTTACGATGTTTCCCACTAGTTCTTGAGATTATTTTCATGAAGCTAACATGTCAGTCTTTCACGGTACATTCATTCCCCATAAACCTTTAATATTATTATGACGTAACTGTAAACTTCAAAGTATTTTATTGAGATTGTATATGATTTGACAACACCAGTAGCTATTAACTTAAGTGGTGCAGTATAAATTAACTGTTATAAACAAAGTTGGAGCCTGACAGCGTACTTCAGGAGGTTTTTTTTGTAAACACAGTTTATGACATTTAACATCTGCAGGTACAACACTGATAATGGCTTTGTTTTTTGTTTTGTTTTTTCACATTTTCGTTCCTCTCCTCTTACAAATGAGTTTGTCCAGACATCTCATTGATACAGCAGTAAAAACAAACTTGATCTACTAAAGTACATCATTTCAAGCAGAGGTAATAACATACATCAGCAATACAATTTCAACATGGACAACACAAATAAAATAAGGTTAATCTTGTGGTCCTGTGGAATCTGGTGCAGCCTGAATCAGTTTATTCCCAGTCAGAAGTCAGCTTCTGTCCTAAAACCCTTGTAAGTACAGTTGTGACAATCAACTGTACCTCTACGCCAACACACAAATGAAACCAAAATGTCATGTCTTTCCAACTCAAGTAGGAGTGAAAATATGCCAAAAACGTAATGATGCCTCCCAGAGTGAGCAGGGCTGATGCTGTCTGGCAGACCATGCCGCACCGGAGTGTTGTTCTGTCTTTGGCGTAAGCAGCTAGCAGCATGCAGAGCAGGGAGAAGGCCACAAGCACGACTGGAACATAAAAACACAGAGCGAGCATCGCTTCAACACTGTAAGCTGACCATCCCGTTTGACGACAAATTAATGTATCATATTGATTGTTTTCACAAAAGATTACAGGGCCGATGAGGACTTTCTCGGAGTGGATGAAGACACCAAAAAAGTGCAGCAGCAAGACTTGAAGGAGGATGACCAGAAGCAGCACAGAAATCCCAATAGAGTTTAGTCCTGGACTCCTTATTGAAAGAGTGGCCATGTGGACCGGCTCTGCACTCTGGATCTGTAAACCTAATATAGATATTGACAAAAATCAATGACAGCAGGCATTTAAAACAATAAGGTAGAATATTATCACCTTCCTAAAATAATTGACTAGGTCATTTTTGACAATGTAATTTTTTTCAAGAAAGAGGTGGTGATTTTTTTTTTATTATTATTATTTTTTTTTATTTTTGTCACAATTTCTTTCTTCAAAAAATAGGTGGCAATATGCAGTAGTTAACTAGGGCAGCAGTTCATAAAATGCGAAATGGGCAAGCCTGAAATGGTAAACTGTATTTGAAAATCAAGATACATTGCACTTGTAAATAGAAAGAAAAGAGCGTAATAATGAATAAGACTATTTCTCATGTCATTATACATGGAGCTAAAATGTCAGGTTTGCACACTGCCTTGTGAGACTTATTTTCCTTAAACTTTTTTATTATCATGTTGCTTTGATGTATTTTAATGGGAATGTAAATGATTTGTCAACACAAAGTGGTGTATTTTCATGACATGAAAATAAATTGGTTCATGGCTTTCAAATGTATCTCCTCAGGTCCTCTGAAGACCTCAAAGGTTGGAAATGGCACTCTGGTCTAGGGAGGCAAAAATTTATTTTTCTTTTTAGTCTACGCACATCAGAAATCCACATAGCAACAAACCGCTCTGAAAATGCTGGTTGCTGCTTTATAATATTGAGATACAAAGTCCAGGCCTAAATTCTATTTAGAATTTATTCAAAGACATGAAAATCACCTCATTCAATACGACTTGAGCTGTTTTGGGAAGAATAATAAACAAAGAGGTGCAAAGTAGGGAGAAATATACCACAAAACCCAGGCCTTACTGCAGTTCCACAGTTTAGCCGAGCTCCTCGATTTTGATGGGTGTGTTTGACAGATAAAAATATTTCATGGTGATGTTGCAGGAATAAGAACTATAAAATAATTAAATACACATTTAATTAACTATCTGAATCAGTTTGCATGTTCATGACTTGACACGTTAAGCAAACTGTCTATTAAATAATTTATTTAAACACTAAATTCAACATTTATTCATGGTACATTGATGTATTTACTTAATGACCCTCCATAACATAGTAGAGTATTATTTCCAAAAAATCCCTAATTTCTGCACCATCGCAGTTCCTCAAATATGGCTTATGAAAGTGATAGTTCTCTAAGACACAAGTCATATGTAGATCAGCTGATTGCGTTTACTTCATATCACAACCACTTTAGAATGTTGCACGTTAATATGCGTTAAAGTATTTGAAGTAAACTCAAACTATATAGTTTGAGTTTACTTCAAATACTGTTTGGCAGTGCTGTAATGATTCAACGTCTAAATTTGTTCTTTTCATGGACAAAATGAAAATGACTGTTCCATCAAAAACTGGACAATTTCCTGAAATAAATTAAAGCTGTTGTTGATCTGTAGGCGCAATCAAATGTTTGGCAAAATTGTCTTGCTCTGGTGTGTTGTTTACTTACTTTCACAGGAAGAGGGTTCACGCAGACGTCGGTGTGTAGCGAAGCTCAGCGGCCTGAGGTTTGAGCGCGCACGCTTTCGCCGCGAACGCGCACGGCTCGGGTTCTGCCCCGCTGGTGCGCGCTTCAACAGGCACTCCGGCGCACGGACTTCTGCTGAGAGCTGAGTGATCATCTGCACTTTGACCAGCTTTAACTTAACTGCAACATCAAGGAGTTTGTTAAAGGTTAGTGGAGAATCGCTATGTGGTATGTGAATTAACCAGCACGTTCAAATTGGGCAGTTTTAACAACTATGATTTTACACTATTAAATGTTTTTCCCCATCAAAACGGGAGGCGGGATCGTCTGAAAAATTCCGTTCTCCGTTCTACTTTATTAAATAAAAATATTAGATTTTTTTTTTTTTTTTTAGTTATCAGTGTCTTTAAATAGCCAAATTAAATAGTTTGGGGGACATGAGGTTGATCGTTCGAATGAGGGAAAAATGCAGTTCAAAGTATTTTGGAAAAGTTTAACCAGAAGGAATTTGTCAATTGTGCCTCAGATGTGCTCACGAGGTTGTGAATTCATATTGTGAGTACTTTCAGATAACATATTAGGCTTTGTTAACCAACTATCAAGCAAGTAAAAGGAAACAAGTAAAACTTCTCCAGTTAACTAATTCCTGATCACTTTATCATCCATGTCTCTATTAGATTATTTTTAAGTCTTTCCTTAATCATCAATTAATAATCTCAGTAAAAATCTGCCTATCAGAAAGTTTTTATTTCCATTACAATAACTATTTCAAACAATTTCACTCTTATTTTTGACAAATTGCACAGGTTCGTCATGGGAAACAAGTTCAGCAGAAGGCGAGAAGCCCCTGTCAGCAGTGCTGCTGCTGCAGCAGAAAGTGAACAGAAGCCTGCTGTGGAGTCATCGACGACACCTAAACCAACAGCAGACTCTGAGATAAAACAGGAGGCTGTTAGGACAGAGACTCTAGATGTGTTGGTAGAAGAACCACCAAAAGATGAATGTGCACCAGAGGGGCAAGAGGAAGAAAGTCCTGTTACCTTGGCCCCACCAGAAGATGCAGGGTCTGAACTACTAGCAAAGGAAACTCCAGCTCCAGTGCAGCTTGAAGCTGCGGTCTCAGACACCAATCCTCTGGAACCAGAATCGTTTGCACCAGCAAAACCTGAAGCTACAGAGGAAGCCGAAGCTGCCATCACTCCGAACCCAGAGGATGTTCCAGAACCTGACTCTGCTTTGCAGTCAGAGGCAGACACTGATGACCTCGTCTCTGAGCCGACGAGGCTCAGTGACGAGGATGTGGAGCAGCACAAAGACCAAGAGTCTTTAACTGATCCAGTAATTTCTTTGCCACCATTGATTGATTTTGGTGTCCCTGATGTGATTTCCTCACCAACCACCATCCCTCTGGATCCAGATGAGTCATTGAATGTGTCAGCAAGTGAGCACAGTGCCACAGCAGAGCCAGAAAAACTCACTTCAGACTCTCTGGGGAAGTCGACAGGGGTGGAGGCTGAAGAGTGTCTGAAGACGCTGGGGAGTGACATCAACGTGGAAAATGCTAGTGAACTCCTGAAAAACTCCGGGCTGAAAGAAAATGACCTTCTCAGTGACATCATTCCGAGAGAAGTCAAGATCCCTGATGACACTTCAATCACAGACATGAGCTCATCCATGGAGCTAATGTGAATCCATCAAAGACATCCATGAAACAAGCAAAAGGAGATTTTATTGAAACCATATTCTCAATGGGTAAAAAACTTTGACTTTCCACCCCAACTGCTCTTAAGACAAATGCCAAATATATATTTTTAACTGAACCCAAAGAGCCATGCATCACGTTGGACTTCAATTTTTTATTTTTTTTTTTTGCTCTTAATAAATTTAAGTAGCCAGTAGATTTGGCTTTGGGGTGTAAATAAGCTCAAACAGCACAAAACAGAAGGACACAATGCAAGACAATAGAGGCCTTCCTCTGTGCAAACTCACTAACCAAATATTCAAACCCATCTCAGTGAGAACCACTGTGTACGAGAGATAAAGTTAATTCTTTTTAAGGAAAATGTAGGTGTGTCCTTTAGCCTGGTCATCATAAACCAGCTAACGATGTCTTACCCAAACGACAGATAACAGGGCTAGCAAACCAAAAATGACCAGTTTAAAGACTGGAGGACATACCAGGAAAGAACTACCAACTAACTATTTATGCATTAAAAGAAGTAGTGTTTACACTTCCACATATTAGTCTGAATGGAATGATTGTAATTTTTTTTATTCAATAGTGGCTTGCTTGTGAAAATAAAAGTGGTATATCTCTTCTATGGTCCTGCTGCCCATTTATTTAAAAGCACATACAGATTTTTGAGCAAGTAAACTGGTTAATTACATTTCTTAGTTTCTTAAATGACAGAAAACATCTTGCCACACACTGGTACATGCATGTGA